TTACTGTACTGCAGGTCAAATACATAAATGTCTAAATTGCAGAAGCATATCAAACATGTCTTATTATTTGCAGTAGTAAAATTAAAACATGCAAAACCACTTTCATGTTGCACTAGGTGTTTATGAGGAATGAGTAAAATAAATTCTTCATTGTGGCTGATGATGATTTTAAACACCGCCTGTCTGCTCTTTATGGTCACCTTTCACCTCAAGCCAGTAGAAGCCAGGGTTCTGTTGTGTTCGTAAAGTGTGCTCCACCTTCACAGACCCCAGCAGAGGTCAGGATTAGCAGGTCGTCTGGATTAGGAGACACGGCACAAACAACTTCTCTTCAGCCTTCAGTGCCAGGCAGCAGGCATTCACATCATGTTTTTATGACTAATTTGTTATTTTGTTCAGCACATCCTTGATAACACATAAGTAGTTCTGAGCCATTATGACCCCCATTTGGACAAAACAGCACATAGGTTACGTGAACCTCTGGCCCAGGTGGTTTCATTTAAGTATTAGGTCTAAAAAACAGTTATTTTTCTTCTTACAGTGGTAACGGTGTGTTGAGTTTTTGCAGTTTAGTGATTTAAGATTAAACATAGGTTATATATATATATATATAATAATATATGTATTGATAATATACAATCAATACATTAAATGGTCTGAAAAAACAATTCCACTTTTCCTGCAACACCTGAGTTTTCCACATGTTAAGCTTGAAAGCTGTGAGAATTAACTATAGCCATTTCAATTTGACATTAATAATGGGTTCATAGTAATTTTGAGGAGGGGCTCTGAAGGGGCCTGAGCGGACGCGCTGTCAGTGTTGTAAACTTTAATGACTTTCCGGCTAGTTTTATTGACTTTTGATCATGTGCTGCGAACTCCATTAGAAAACAGAAAAATATGCTGGGTTTTCAGTTTGAGTCAAATCTATCTTACTCTTACTGGCTTCCCTGTTGCCGACCCAAACTTTAAGGAGATATATTTTAATGGGGTTAATGGTTCACTTTTACATGACATTAAAAAACATAAAAAACAAGTGCTTATGGTTTATAGAAGATTACATTTAGCTTAAATAATTAATTATTAAAGAGGGTATTTAAAGAAGTTATAAGGCACTTTTGACATACAACACATAGAAAACAACTCTAGTATGTTTTTATCTTATTTTATTGAATTCTGTAAATGTTGTTCAATTTAACTTTTATGCTGAGGTGTTATTCTTTCCCATGTAAAGCACTCAGTTACAATAATTAAAAGATAATTGGTTATTATTTGTTGTTGTATGATAGCATGTATCTAAATCTTAAATGCTACTGTAGTAACCCCATATGCAAAACATATCCTCTTCTCAAAATATCCATTATAAGCACAAAATACAAAAGAAAATCATAAACAAAAACCTAAAACTCTTACTTAGGATATTTGTTGTGAGTGAAATATAAAACTGTTTATGTACAGCTCATGAATTTGATTTGGCACATGGCTCCATTAAGTCATTCGCTAGGATCTAATCTCATTAGAGCACCTCACTCCTGCAGACTGCACACTCAGTGTGATTATATTTAAGATATGGAAATTACAGCCATGCAGTTTAGCTCTGCTTCCTCTTTAATGCTCCTGCGTTGCAAGATGTCCTAATCGGCTCAGTAACTAATTATTTGTGTGCCATTGTAACCTTCCTCTTACATGTGACGCATGTTGAGAGGCGTTGGCCCGCATCACCTCTTGACCTTGCTGCTTCGCTCTTCCTTCCACCTCAGGAGTGTTGTTGGGAACATGTGGGAACCTCCAAGTTTTCCTCTCTTGCCAAATAACTCTGATTACAAAATGCTGATGTTACTAATGAGCTGCTCTCGTGTTTTACTTTTCTTCTAAGTGGCCCCTTCCGTCTGAATGAATGCCTGCAACAGCAGATAGTGGTTGGTGTTCATTCGCACACGTGCAGAGAAATCTCAACTAGAGAATATTTCATAATAAAACGTTGATTGAAATGTCACAGCTGCCACAGAAATCACGTGATTGCAGCTTTTTTAGTATTCCAGTCAAATCTATTTCAGCATAACAAACAACAGGATAGTATTATCTTGCACCAAGCAGGCTGCTGCGTAATCAGGTAGTGAAGAAGCAGTGATGATAGAGATGGCATTGGGGTACAATCTCAGCTCACATAAACAAGATATTTTTAGCCTCTGAGAGCTCCTGTGTGAATTATGTGATGTTGATGGTGTTTTTCCATTAGTGCGTCCGAGTGTGAGAACATCACTGGATCAAAAGGAGCATCATGTTCTGTTTCTAAACAATAGTTGAATCAGACAAGGATTTGCCTTCCTCATTCTTTCCTCCAAAGCTTCCTAGAATAACAGAGGAACTTCTTCATTTCCGAACATGTACAGTAAATCTTGTTCTACCTTGCATGTTTGTTGATACTGCATACTTTGATTTGCAGTATGCATACGATACTGCAGTGGTCCCCATCTGTATTTTAAGACATCCACAGGCTCTTTCAGAAACACATATGACTTTGATTCCTGAATTGATTCTTTATATTTAGCTATTTTTATACCAAATGTATCGAACTATTTCCATTATTTATCCAACAAGTTGATGAAAAATGTTTCCCTGATGTCCAATTTTTAATATGAATTATTCCAAACTCATTATCCATTACAATTTAAATTCCAGCACTTACAATATTGTGTACATCTTATAAATTATGTTGCATATCTGTAAAAAATGGTCAATCTGTTTGACGAACATGAAACAAGTATTTGTAAATGTTTCACAATTGCAGGTAGTAAAATAGTTCAATACACCAGCTGCTCCTCTGTCTGTATGATGTCGCAATGTGAACAAATAAAAGTGGAGATCAACAACAACTGAGACTGTGATGTGGCCGCAAAATAGCTTGAGATAAGATTGATTGTTTCCAAGGTCCAGAGTTATCTAATTCTGAATCCGAATCTGTTCACTCCTTCACATGCACAAGTGTGTCATATATCAGGGGAGGGGGCAAAGTGCTGCAAGCCAATCCCAGTAATGGTCTATTATGTACAATTCAATTATTAGCATAATGATCTCCAACACTGTTTAATTTGAATAACCTTATTAATTTTAAAAGACTACATTTATAAAATAATTGGAATTATCCCTTTTAACTTTAGGATGAGCAGCTGATTAGATATTATTACATTAACTACACTAACTTTACTGGTCATTACATTTTGAAAGCAGAACAATTGTATTTTCTTGCTGTAACTAGCCATTGTTTTTGCCAATTATTTTGCCAATTATTCAATTAATTGGTCATTTATTGTGTCGATAAAATGTCACATAATGTAATGAATCGCTAATATTTTATTATAATAATGTTTGTATTTTTGAACAAGCCTAATGGAAGTAATTTATCGATATCATCCTTTATACGCAGACTTTTTGTTTAGAAGTTAAAATAAGCATTACAAATATGGAATTATAAAGTGAAATATACCCTAACCCAAAGTACCAAAAGTAAAAGTACTTATTAACAGAATAAAATGTATGTTATTTTTGGATTATAATTATTAATGCATTAATTTGTTTTATCACTTTACCTCTGCATCTTGTAAGAGTGGATATCATTTTTAATTACAAACGATATACTGCTGGAAAGCTTGACCTATAATAATTATCATATCTTTAGTTAATTATATATTTTTTCAATTGAAGAAAGTAATTTAAGTGTTTAAATTAATGTAGTAGAGTAAATAATCCCTCTTTAATAGTAGCAGAACATTTAGATATTTATATTTACCAGAAGGTGTATACTTCAACACAGTACTACAGCAAATGTACTTAGTTACTCTGGATATATAAATAAATGCATTACTTTCTGACGCGTTGCCACCTGACAGTAGGATCAGTTTGTTGTGTAATCCAATAAGCTCCAGTCCGTATTTCCCCTGGAGCCCATCTGGCTGACTCTGGCTCGGTTTGTTTACTGGCGGAGGCTGAAGAAGGGGATCCTACAGGACCTGCTGGGAGACTGTACAATCTACCTCTGTTTGTGGAAGAAGAACAGGGAAAAACAACTTTATTTCCCATGCTTTCCTCTCATTCAGATACACGCTTAGTTGCTGTGGTGGCAGGAGCCTGAACACAACTCGGAGCATTTATATGTTGTGGTTTTTTTTTCTATTCCCAAACAAAAAAAAGAAGAAGTGCGGAGCCACGACTGAAGTCTGTCAGAGAGTGGAGGTCTCACTGAAATCTCTGCACTGACTGGAGAGGACTCTTTGGAGTTAACCAGGGAAAAACACTTTATTTCCCAAGCGAGAGAAATCAACTGCGATGTTTTGTTTTCGCAGGAGGAATTGAGGGATTTTTTTTTTACGAAAGACACGCTAACGTTACGCCACGCATGCCACAACCATCGAGTCAGCAGCTCCAAAAAATCCTCTAAATTAAGTTATCAGTCGCTTTAATGGGATTTTTCCTGCATGCAAATTGACTCTTGTATTAATAATATCCAGTGCAGCTGTAAAGGTATGCGGGGGGTTTCTTAAAGTAAAAAAATATTGAGATAGTTGCTGAAAAGCAGCGCAAACTTCACTTGTGGCCTGGACTAGAGGTGGAGCTAGGCTAGGCTAGCTAGCTTAACCGTAGCATTTTTTCGCAACAACAAGTCTATTTTTGCTCATTTTTTCGGACACGGACAATCTAAACTGGGTCAGTTTATCCATCAAATGCATTTTGAAGACATAAAACGAGCTCTCATATCCCGTGGTGATGTGTGTTACGGGTGCTTTTCCATGAGGTGGCTAACTTTAGCAGTGCTAGCTTGTGTTTGAGTGAACACGTTGGACTCGTTCCTCCGCCCATCTTCCGGGATGGCTTTTATTTATTTGTGTTTACCTGTTGGCCCACGCCGCCAAACAAAACCAATTTCCTGAAGGTATTTCTCCTTCAGTCTGAACTGTGTCCTCGCCAAGGATTATTCTGCATTTGACCCGGAATAGTGCTGCATGGTGTTTTATTCCGAGTCAGTTATGTGGCTCCGGACTTTGTGTTTTGTTTTCACGGTCTGCTTTGTGATGAGCTGTCATCGAGCAAGTGGAGAGGGTAAGTAACATTATTATCACTTTTATTCATAGTTTATATTAAACATTTTAATCATGTGAAATTGTGTGAAAACGTGGCTGGGTGGACTGTTTGTGTATAAAAACATAGAAAATATGCAAAATGCTAAGGATCTACAATTTTGTCGGACTGTCAAATATTTTGCATTTTTTTGTCTATTGCATGTGAGGGGATTCACAATGACATCTAAAAATCATTACTTATTTGTTAATTTCACCAAGATAGTGAGGAAATTATTGACTCTCCTTTTTATATTTTGTTGGAGAACCTTAGGGATATACACTATTAAATCATTGTTGCATTAATTATCAGTACATTTTATACACATTATTAATACAATAGTCAGTGCAATTACATTAATTTGAAGAACATGCTTGGACATATTTTAAACATACTTATGATTCTCAGTGCTGCAAAGTTGTCATTTAAATTATTATTTGTTGCTATTGATGGTGATTTCTTTTTGAAGGTACGTAGGCAGCAACAGTGGTGTCGTAGACAGTCACTGCATTGAAGGGACAAAGGTTAACACTTATCGGCTATTTGGAGTCTGCAGGCACTGTAAACAATATATTTTTCTCCCAAATAAGTAAGCAGTCTGAGCATTAGGGAGAATTAAATGTCTGTTATTGTGAAAGGGAAAGCCTTGGCTTGTTGCTGTGGTCAGTGCAGGAATGCAACAATAAGCCCTCTTTACAGCTCCTGACAATCCCTTTTTATATTCAGCAGCCAGCAAGCACCGGGTGATAAGAATGAATGGATAATATTTGCAATCACCCCGAGACATTTTCAACATTTTCAAAAACCACAATCGGTATTTCACACTCCTTGAATCTGTAAACCTAAATATTGGTTGTATGTGTGAGGAAATGTAAAGCAAACCGATGGGACTATATGCTGGTTTAAAGTACTGTACAGCAAGTGTACACTTCAAGTATGACAACACCAGAAATCAGGCTGGTAAACAGTGACATTAAACAGTTCTTTCACTGTCTCATATACTAGAAGATGTTACAATGTTGATCTAATCCGATGATTCAGTGGTGCTTTATAAATTAGATGATCATTTTCCAAGTTAACCGCTCTTCATGTGGTTTCTGTTCAAACTTGTGAAATAGCTGTTCTTTTTAACTCATAGATTTGCATATTTGAAAGAAACTGGCCTGTGTGTTCAGTCCATGTGTTATAACCTTGTCTTGAGTTGGGAAATGAACTCACAAAGTGTTGTTAAGATACAATGCAGGCATTTAAAATAAACAAAATGCTTAAAAATCGAAATAAAGCTTAAAAACTCCACAATAAGCAATTCAAATGTATATAGCTATCAATTAAAAACTCTGTGGTGTGATGACTTGTTTACAAAATAATTATTTCAATAATTGTTGCTCTCATTTATTTCCTTCAAATCTTTACATACAACAGAGAATGCATGTCAAAATACATCACATTTCGTTTTGGTGCACAAATGCAAAACATAATAAAGGCAAGATGCTTTTATTAGGATTATCACTCAGTAAATACTCCCTAAATGCTCTTGTGTTTTCACCCTTTTTTTCTGCTCCTTGCGAAAACATTGCTCCCAGGTTTGTGCTGTCTTACAATAACGTTGACTCAAGCAACACATAATCCTCTTTTGTACGGTATAATAAGTTTGTCCACTTTATGTAAACACAGCATGTAGCCCCAGGTAGCTCTAAATCTCCCCGACTACTGCAGTGCTGCGTGTGGCTGTGGTCGGATTTAAGAGGCGCTCTGAAGGAAAAGCAAAGCACAAGCTCTCTCACCTTTCATCGGATTTTAGTGAGGGGCGAATAGAGCGATGTCATCAAACCAGTTTGAGCAAGAATTTTAAGACATAAATCAAAAGCAAGTTGTGTAATTGTGCACTTCAGCCCCTTCCACCCCCCTCGAGCTGCTCTCAGACTGGAGAGAGAACCGCAGAAGGGAGAGAACCTGGGCCTCACACCGGTCTATTTTATAAGCTGGACTGACCAGTGTCCAAGTCAGGAAACCTTGATGGAAACATTCACTTAATAATAGGAGCTTATATTTAGTGGCAGCGTGATATTCATTTCGTTTATTTATAATCAGATGGCTGCTAAAACGCTCAATTGTAACTGCAAATATGTATTTTTTACATATATTATGCTTCAGATAGCTCCAGCTTGGGCCTCTTATTATAACATTACATTCAAGTCACAGAGCCAACCATCTGTTTTTCACAAAGATAAATATAAACAAGTGATCTTGCTTACATTTACAGTTACTGATCTTCTAAAGGGATCTCTAAAGTTTATATCTTAACAATCATGACCAAAAGATATTCTGCCATCAGCTGCACAATCACATTTTTAACCTGTTTCTCAAGTTGTGTCACCGTCTTCTTACAAATATGTCACCTTGGAATGACATATGTTCGGGCTCAATTTGTACATCGTGAAACAAAATGTAAAAGACAACTTTACCTCAGGCTATTTGTCTGAAGGTTTTTCTATCGTAAAAACATTTGTATTAAGCCAAATAAGATCATAGATACAGTATATTGTTGGGTCGAGGACCATTTGATATATAATTGCATTTTGAGATTGTAGTATCAATAGTAGGTAAATTATAAAGAGAATAGAGACGGGTGGTACAGCACGATACAAAAGAGGCACAAACAGTGTTTTCCATCAGCTCATTTCAACTCAGGTTTTGTGTGGAGGTCTCAGGTGGTCAGATGGTCAGATTGCAGCGTATTGTTGTGCCATTATAAAGCATCACTTTATCAAGAATGTCAAACGGCGGGAGACCCGATGAAGCCCCTGCAGCCTGTTGTTGAGATCCACTCCGGTCACAGCAGGTCTCGAAGGCAGGCAGCAATCCAGAGTCCTGGTACTCGTGATTTAGGCCTTTGGAGGAGGGCAATTGTAAAGTGATGAAACTGTCACCCCCCCTCCACCACCAGCACCAGCACTTCTCCAAAAACACTACAAACAAACTGCCACTGCTGTTTTGAAGAAGTCACGAGCACGCTTGACATGTATACAATGGAATCATCTTTACACTTGTCTACCCTCAACAATGTCCGTTTAATCCCAGTTGACAAGTTCATGTTTGAAAATTATATACTGCTTTGAAAATGGAGAAAACTGGCACTCCTTCACTCCGACCACACAGGCGTCTGTCAAGGAAGCCTTGTTGTGTCACATCTTTACCCTTGACACCGTTAACAGTAAATGTGCTTGTTGTTGTGCTCTCACACTTCAGAGGTAATAATTACCTCACTGCCAACATTGGTGAGAAGAATAATGTGTATCTGAGTGCAGCTGGCGGGCGATCACCAAACGATCTTTGGTCCGGAGCCATCCATACAGGATCCTCTTCAAATGCCTCACGAGGGAACTTTGTGGTTTGATAGGCTTTCTCTAAAAGCCTGAATCACTTGTATTTAATTGTATTCCCTCTAATGTAATGCATTGTCATTGGGCAGCACTTGCTATGTCACCCCTACCTAACAGCTGGCTCATTTGATAACCCGCTCTAAAGACATTTATAGGCGAGCCTGTACTCTTGAGACATTTACCAAGAATAGAGCTCCAATGATTATTCAACGGATCTTTATTTTAATCTACAGAAAAATTATCTGCAACCATTTTGATATTAGATTTATCTTAGTTTTTCATGCAAAAGCTTCAATTTTTTTTTTAGATTTCCTGCTTATTCTCTGTTTTCACATCATGTTAAATGCAATATTTTATGTTTTTGACTGACAAAACATAGCAATAAAACACATTAAATTAGACTTTGAGAAACTGGAAACTTTCAAAATGTTCTGACATTTTCTAAACCAAACGATCTTCAAATGATTTAGTAAATATATAATAATGAAATTAATTGTTAGTTGCAGCTAGGTCTGTTGCGATAAGCAATTCATTGACTTATCGTACGATAAATAAAAATGAACTCGATAACTTTTCTGACCTCGATAAATTGCTGTTTAAATGCGTGTTTGTTTACATAAGGATGTGACCAGCATTTTAGCCAGGTGCGCTGTGTCTGCCGACCAGGCGCGCTGTGAGGGGTGGGGCTCACACACAGCCAGGTCATATTTATATATACAGTCTATGGTCAGGACACTCCGCGTGCAACAGCGTAGCAGCCAAATGAATAATATAGAGACAATATTTATCGCAATCATTTCCAGGAAAATGTATCGTCCAACAAAATTAATTATCGTGACAGGCCTAGTTGCAGCCCTACCCTAGAAGGTTGTGTCTCTGTGAGTTATATTAATACCATTGTCTTAACTGCTGTAATATATCTTATCCTGTGCAGCTGAAGCCAGGAGAAACCTTTCCTAATTAACCATAATTGCAGCCGAGAGCCTTTTTGAAGTAAAAGTTAAATGGACTGTTTGCCGACTCGTCAAACATATCCTCGAGCTGAAACGGTTGTCAGAGTTTAAGCTTGTTTGCCTATGATGTTACTTTAAAGGGGACCTATTATGCAAAATGTACTTTTGATGTCTTTTATACATAAATATGTGTATGCCAGGGAACTCACAAAGTGTGAGAAAACAAAACCCTGTCTCTTTTCCTCCGTACCCACATCTCTAAAAAAAAGAATAAAAAAAGGGTGGTGCTAACAAGCAGATCCAGAATTTTCGCTCCTATAACGTCATTGGCGACATCCGGCCGATGTGACACGACCCAACCTATCGTCTCAGGCACACGTGACACGTCCCAACCTATATTCTCCAGCACACGTGACACCAACCTATCGTCTCCGTATACAGTCGCAGCTGTGTGTCTGTATTCAGCAGGATGTCTGCAGGAGGCACTGACTCCTAGATTCCACCGGGTCCGTCTGCGGCGCGTTACGGCTGCGTCGCGGTGCTCACGGCGATCGCGGCGATCGCGGCCACTCTAGTCAATGGGTGCTATTCCACCACACGCAGCGCGTTACGGCTCAGAAGCGTCCCAGAAGCGGCTCGGCGCAGGGCTCCTCTAAAATTAGGATCGAATCCTATTTTTGTTGCGACGCAGCCGTAACGTAAGGTCGGGCAGGCAGGAAGTGGAACGTTCAGAGCATATATAGCATATATATATATAGATATATACACACACACAAACTCATTTTGCAGACCCTATCCTGACCACTTTAGTGCCTGTTGATGCATGCAGCTGCATTGAAAGGATTGTGCTCAGACTGTGAAGAGCGGACACCCTTTAGCATAGATATGTACAGTATTTGTGCTCCTGCGTCAGTGATATATCTCTGTGCATGATGATGTAAAATTAGGGCTTGCTTGTGTCCTAGTCGTGTTTTACATCAGGCATTCACAATGGTATCTATCTGGATGTATTACATTGGCATTGCATTTATACTCTTCTTGTTTACAACTTGTATGCATTATGAACACAATTATGACATGTGTGAAATTGCAAAAGTAGGGTCACAAAAGTCAGGTGTCGGATGTGAAGAAATTGACATTTTCTTGTTGTGGGTGTATTTTTTCACTTAATTTGATTAAGCTCTATGGATTTAATGTTATGCCTGGCTGACTCTCACTGTGGTGTGCTGCCTGTGTGTACTGGGCCAGCTTCAGTGGATCTGTACAAATCCGATTGCATGCACTTATATATTGCAATATTGTGTAGTGGTTTAACTAACAATCACTTACTTGCCTGATTTATTAATCCATTGCAAATATTGAAAGATACCCACCACAACTTTCTCTTGTCCAAAGTCCAAAACCTAAACATATTCAGTTTATGTTTTCTGTCAAATCCTCTTATTTTATAAGCGGAAACCAGGAGAAAAACTTTTCTGTGGACCTCTAGTTGAGAATTTTCCAATTTCCAAGGATAAGAATAAAGTTTGGTGCTTTTGCGTCAATTGAATTTATTTTCTTCATTATCTCTTTAAATGCCATTTTAATGCATTTCCATGCCTCACTGAGGGCACTTTGATTATATCTGTGTTCAAAAAGTGCTCTACAAATCAGCTTCGCCTGTCTTGTTAGTGGGATAAATGTTTTGTTTGGTCAAGATCGTTTTCTTGACCAAATGATGGGAAACCATCCTTCTGGTCCTTTTTTAATTAACCTTAAAAGTTCATCTGCCTCAGAGCTGCGGGCACGGAGAGACTTGGGCCATTAAAGATTTGCTCCACTAATGACTCTAATTGTCGATTCGCAGCACCCGGGCTGTGTTTTCGGTCTTGTCTGGCTCAGATTAGGTGATGTATGGAAAGCAGGAGCTGGCCGAATCCCCATAGTAACCTTTGTGATGTCTCCCAGTTTGTTCTCTTTCTCAACAATACAGGCAGCATTTCAATTCTGGGATGCACCTGGTTCGTTTAGCTGGAGCTGTGTGAAGTCTTCACGGACAGAATTTTTTGTTCTCTAGGCCAGAGCGACAAAAACAGTGCTGTTTTTTTTTTATAGAAGTTACAATTTCTGCCAAAGTTTTGTTTCTAAACTAAGTGTTCACACATGGAGAAGTCGGCTCTCCCAATGTTTTCTCTGCCGCCGCTCTAAAATTCCTCACTTACACACCAAGGCTGCCATGTTCTAGTTTCCAATGTGAGCCACTATCAGTACGGCCGGAGTGTATTAGATTCTCTATTGGGAATGCGCTGCTAAAAATACTGGCCTGGCTGAAAGTGTACACTGATAGGAGCCTGGACTCGCCGCCCTGTGATGATTTGCCTTCTTCACAGGGTCACCCAGTGCTCTGCTGGAGACCACACTGTCCCCTAGTACACTGCTAGGGTCTTTGTCTATTAAATTGTTTTGTTTGAGAGTGTGTGGGGTCTTTTATGAAAAGACGGAGGCTCTTTGTAGCGTTAAATGTGTTAGTCAATGGATCTACAGGAGGCATTTGCTGCAAATTCCTCCAGCAGTTGCCGTCATTTTGATTAGCAGTGTTTAATTTGGAGGCAGATAAGGTTTTGTGTCACGCCACGTCATGCTTACAATTCGGCTGTACTCCTCGGACACAACCACAAAGGGAGCTGTAGATCTAAATGTATGACATGTACTTTTTATCAAGCCAGGCTGCTTTTAATAGCTTGCAGTTTAAACCCATGTTAGGACATTTTGTGTGTATTTTAAACAAGCGTCAAAGTTGTAGGCTGAACTTCAGATAACTGCTGCGGGGTGAGTCTGCTGGTTAAGGTCATGCAGTGAAAAGCTTGTTGTTTGGACACCCAGTGATTGGACACTCAGTGTGAGTGTGTGTGACGGTTGTCTGGTAGTGTTATGCAGCAGAAGGTGTAAAAGGAGCCGCTGCCATAAAGAGGTGTACGCCTAGCTGTTATATCTCGTCCCCCCTCATGGTTGACCAGTTGGCCCGATGCATGGTTGGTAAACAAATACAGTCTACTCTCCAGGCAGCACACCTCCAGCTGCAGCCATGACTTGTGAACTGTATAATTGGGCCTGGAATGTCCCACATCTCAGCCGCAAAGGAAAACCTCTTTATGAGCGTCATAACTTGTGTTATGTCACACAAAGCATATGCTTAAGAGTTTGGCTCATTTGCAGAACAGAGAGCTAAGGATATCCTCATTACTGTTAGCTCTGCTCATACAGAGCCCCCTGAGTGTAATATGGTTTAATGTATTTTCCAGTAGGTTTCAAAAGCACTGTATGCTGCACTATCTGAAGTTTTAGTACAGTTGACATTCTTCCAGAGCTAAAAACAATGAGCTAAATAGATTTAAAACACAAATCCACATGGACTGAAAAGAGTGCGCACCCCTTACTCAAAACATAAATAAACAATAAAAATAGTTGTCAATGGTGTTAATTAATGACCAATATTTACAGTCACATACTTACAGTAACTCATAGTAGAGAGCCATACACTATTATTCACAATTAACTAAGAAAACAGTCAGATACCTGACACTTGATATAGTGTAAATATGCAATAAACTAAGTGATTAATTGGAAAAATTAAGAGACGATTTGCAATAGCTATTTGCGGCCCTACATTAAACTCTTGTATCATTGTGATACAGAAGAATTTAAAATGATTGAGACGGTAAAAATGTAACTCATCTCTAGCATAGTTAAGGAATGTCTCATGAAACAGGATCATGTGTCTGGGTGAAGACTGACAAAGCCACAAATCTTCTACTGGTGCAATACGCGACCATTAGTGCTTCAGTTCCCCCTCCCACCCAGACAAATATTTTTAATGCATTAGCTAGGGTTTTTTATGGTCTTGAGTTACAGAAGCAACTCAACAAATCAACTCGGCATTACCAAGGATGAGCACAGACTTGCTCTGATGACAGCACTCCATATTTGACAGTGGCTCACAGCCAGATATGTGGTTGCTAAACAAAATGTCAGCAAAGACGGTCTGGTCTTTATCAAAGCCAGAGACATCACCACATATCTTTCAGTAAAATATCCCCTCTAATTACCAAGAAATCTATTTTTTTCTTTAGTCCTTGAGACCGTGTCTGACTTCTTTAACCTCCTTTTTCCAGTTTACAGAGCAGACATCTTGCCTAATGCATCAGTCACGTTCAGCACACCATAGATATTATTAGGGAAATCCTTTTTTTCATGTTGATGTCCAAAAGCCATAACATTTCCTATTGATAATAAAATAATGTTTAGTTACTCATGAAACATGTGCATCTTATCCTTTCCACAGAATGGTGTTTGTTTGTTTTGTGAGTCATCAATGAAGGTTGTTCCTCTAGTTTCTAAAGAACCTTTGTATTTCCTTTTATATCTTTTCAGTTTGTCCGAGCAAGGACATCCGCAACAATGTGACCAACCTACGAACGCTAGAGAACTGCACTGTGATCGAAGGCCACCTGAAGATCTTACTCATGTTCAGGACCAAGCCTGAGGATTTCCGGGGCATCAGTTTCCCCAAACTGACGGTGGTCACCGACTACCTGTTGCTCTTCAGAGTTTACGGCATGGAGACCCTAAGCGATCTCTTCCCCAACCTTACGGTCATCAGAGGCAACAACTTGTTCTTCAACTACGCCCTGGTGATGTTCGAGATGCTCCAGCTGCGAGAGATCGGCCTCCATAGCTTGATGAACATCACCCGGGGAGCAGTGAGGATTGAGAAGAACCCGGATCTCTGCTACCTCTCCACTCTGGACTGGTCCAAGATCCTGGACACAGTGGAGGACAACTACATCATGGCTAACAAGAACGACAGAGAGTGCGGAGACGTTTGCCCGGGGGCGGCCATCGGAAAGACCACCTGCCAGACCACCACCATCAACGGACACTTCAGTGAACGCTGCTGGACCCAGAACAACTGTCAAAGAAGTAAGCAGTCTTTTTTTATAACACAAGTTATATATTTTGTACCTCTGTGATTCTTTATAACAGAGCTGGAGTACTGCCTAGCTCTGATCCATAACCATAATACAACATATCACGTCCTTGGACACCAAACATTTGATACACTTGACAATCATAGAGTTTGAAATGAACCAAATGGGAAAAAATTATCAAGACACTTTCTGGCAGGGATTTAAATGCTATATAAATAGGACTCCCATTTTAATCTGGTGTGACTGCAGTGTTATTTCTGGCCACCGGTAACTGCAGGCTAAATACAACCTAGTGCTTAAATGATTAATTGCTTACACTTACACTTTTGATAATTTATTTGTTTTGAACCTGTTCAGCCCCATTCCCAACAATCGCAACATCTGCAAGAAACAGCGTCTGACCTGAGGGCTTCTTAACATTTAAAAACCTATAAATGTGTCATACCCACTTAACGGGAAGAAACTCAGCTACCAGACAATATTAACAATTTTTAGAAACATAAGGGTAATAACAAAGGCTCTGAATTAGCCCTGAGCGAAAAAATGCTAACACACTTAGCACAGAGAACTCACGTTAAAATACCCCTATTACTTATCGTATCTGCACAAACAAGATATCGATTAGCAAGCTGAGATTGCACAGATTCTACAGGTATTATTATCATTACTGACCGATCCGAACTCGCGACATGAGAAGCTAACAAAGACATCACACCACGTAGCATTAGGTAGCCAACACGACAATATGTCTTACCTTTGTTGTTTTCTGATCAAAAGTTGTCTTCAATGGCATTAAAACGATAAAAACACTGCTGAAGGTTCATCCATAGGTTAATCCAATGTGTCTGTGTCACTTTGAAATGATTTCTGATAATCCATCAGCAATAAACCTAGTTTTCAGTTTTCAGATTTCAGAGCGTAAAATAGGTTTCGCTTTGGGCAAACTGCGTGTGCATAGCTCTGACTTCTCAATGGTAACGTGTAGAGATGTCCCGATCCGATCACGTGATCGGGGATCGGAGCCGATCACGTGATTTTCAAAAGATCGGAATCAGGAGAAAAAAATCGGGGATCGGGAATTTTTTTTTTTAATTTTTTTTTTTTATATAAAATATCTTTTTTTAATTTAATGTTTCAAAACAAAAATGACCATGTTCACGTCTTAAAGTCATCCTGAAGCCTTAGTTTTGGTTTAAAATTACACAACATCATGTATGTGTTGCTTCTTTTGGGCTTGTTTTCATAGACCTGGTTGCTTATTTCTCTCAAATCTGGCAACAGAGTGGGCGCAGTGTCTAATGGTAGCAGTAAGCTAACAAGAGGCTACGTTCAGCTGGTGACTCGGGAGTCGGAGTCAGAGAAAATGTCAGGAGTTTGGAAGTATTATAAAATTGAAAGCGAAGGCAGTGTAACAGCCAGATGCAATGTTTGCAAGGCGGAGGTTCCGCGTGGTGGAAAGAACAGAGCTACGTTCAACACGACCAATCTAATACAAACACCAACAACAACACGACGAGTACACAGCGGCCACTCAGGTAACGGCACTGAAACAACCGACACTTTCAGAGACTTTTAAAAGGAAAGAGAAACTGCCCCAGAACAGTGAAAAGGCCAAAAAAATAACAGCCAAGATAGCTGAATTCATCGCGTTGGATGACCAGCGTTACCTTTTTTTCTCTTAATGCATTGCATAAAGATCGGATCGGGAAAAATCGGTATCGGCAGATTGTCAAAATCAAATGATCGGAATCGGATCGGGAGCAAAAAAAGGTGATCGGGTATGTGGAAATTCCCCTTCCATTCTATTGGCTCTAACGGTTCAAAAGAGATGTCAATCATCAAAATCGACCAATGGGTTCCAGAGAAACGACAAATACACCCATTTCAACCCAAATGACCCCAGAGGTGTTTTTCTTTTGCTAAACCTCTCTAAAGAGGTCAAATGTCACTTGTTTTGCATCAATCTTGATACAGGGTACTTATTATATGTTATTGTTTGGATTCCTAAAGCTTTTAGTCTACTATCCCATCATTCATTAAACAGATTTATATATATATATATATATATATATGAATACAGAATCTGTAGTAAATGGGACACGAGTTGAAGCGTTCTGGTCTATCATGATGCATATTGTCCAGCCCTACATCATAAACCTTTGTACTTCCCCTTTTTTAGATGAGAAACCATATCAAGTGCTTATTATTAGATACATTTTTCATAATTTCCCTACTGTTACATTTTTCCAGTGACCAGTAGTAGCTTGTGTATTTTTTCCTCAGCTACTTTCCGTCAACACATCATTATTTCCCTCACACGTCCAACCGGTCTAACATTTACTGAATTCAACTCTCCATTTGGACCAAATTAAAGCACATGAGGGTTGGTGTTTGAAACAAAAATAGTTTCTTGTTCGCGTTAGAATCAACGACTGCTTGTAGCCTAAAGCTGTTTTGCCAAAAGTTGGTTGTGTCCGTTTTTAGTGTTGAAATGTCAGAGCAGTGTCATGTGCTCAGGTTTAGTTAAGTAGGCCAAGTTCTGTGTCAATGCAGCTTGAACTGTACTCTAATGTGACGCAACACTTAGACATAGACTGTAGTTTTGTTATTGCTCATGTAGTGGACGAGGTAAAGACATTTAACGTCATGGCACATTTCACATTGTCCCATTTAAGCAAAGCTCCTGCGAGACGGGCCTTTCCCTCTGTGTTCTGGTTTTTACAGAACAAAAAAATGACAAGCCCACCCATTTCACACTGCCAAAGAGTTCAAGTTCGAGTGCTGAGAAGAATTTTGCGCATGGGTGCTGTCTGAACACCTTGGCTCGCACCATTACGCAACACTGCACGCATTAGTTTAACGGCTCTTTTGAACAAGTTTCCCTGTGCACGTCTATCTTTTTAAAACTCTTAGTAATGTTTTTTTTGTGAGGCAGCTATATGTTGAGCTGACCATCATTATGCTCTTCAGTACACTTTTCACTAGTGTTTTATTTATAGATTTTCCAATGACTTGAGGTGATTGCTCAACACAAATCTTTGAAACATGCCACATTATAGTTGAGGAAGTGTTGTATGAAAAGTCTCACAGCAGAGATGATTTCCTTATTGTGTGCAATTCTCTGGAGATAAATCAAGCTCAAATGTTGACCGGCAAGCTCTGATCTCCAGTCATTGGCCTGCATTCGGCACGGGCAGGGCCTGTGGTCTTGTGGTCTGTGACTTGCGGTTTTTTGCCTACTTTCACTAAAGCATGAAAAGATCTGTTAAGCACCAGAACCACAGGACGGAGAGCAAGGCATTCCTTGTTGACTTCAGATGTGCCAGTTGTTACTGCTTTTTATAGACCTACTGTAGTTTATAAAGTAAGCTACTATTCCCAAATGTGTTGCTTTAGTCCAGGTTCAACAATCACGTTCTTGCTTGATTTGCGGGACCAGCGTTGCAGAAAAGCAATGTGGAGCGGCACCTCACCGCTTCATAAGGAGTTTGACTGTGATTTTCCTTCTGGCAGAATCTACACATCAGCCCCATTGAACACAGCCTAGTCGTGCCAGCCTATACTGCACATGAGGGGCAGAGCTTTGCTGTGTGTGTGTTGCAACTTGCATATATATTTTGCACTTGACGCACACATACGCATGGCGTAATTTCCACTGGGGACATGGGGGACATGTCCCCCCCACTTTTCCAAATCCCGTTTGTGTCCCCCCACTTTACAAATATGTTTATTATTATTTATTAACGCGAGCCGTCATCGCCACGGAGGAGCACACAGCCTCTGTGAGCGAGCAAGACAGAGAGAGAGAGAGAGAGAGAGAGCACACCTTTATCTATTTAATATAGTTGTAAAAAATAAAGTAAGAAATCATTCCAATGTGTACTATAGGACAGTAAAAAAAAAAAAACAGTTTAAAAGGGGAGTGATTAGTAAAATATGCATAAATAAAAAGAAAGAATGCTAACTAGGTAACATAAGAATAAACAAGTTGAAATGATTGTTATTGGTTGTGATCATATTCTAAAGATGTTTGGATCATTGAAAAGTATACCGCTCTCTTTCATCTGAGTGTTGAGTGTGCATGCCCCCGGACCCCCCTAGAGGAGGTGAGGTCCACCCCCAAATAAAGCAGGTTAAAATAATTAAATTGAATACCTTTTCTTTTAGTAAACACTGAAACGGGTCCCACAGACCCAAACAGCACACAAAGGTTAAAGGTCAGCATATAATAATGTTCAAATGTGCTAAATATATACACTGCAAAAAACTAAACAGGAGGAGGAACAGTAGCTCATGACTTGTTTTATTTTTTTTAAAGTAGCTCTCATCCTAGAAAAGGTTGGAGACCCCTGCTTTAGTCATATATATTCTCTTTAGGTCTCAGGTTTGCTGTTGTTGTGACTCTGATTTATTTGTTATAAACAAATGTGGAGGATTGATCAAAAGCATTTGAGAGGTAAAACAAAAATATAATTTCACTTTGTTATTCCTAAAACTCTCACTCACAGGGACTGTCTGGGACTTTTTTTGACTCCAAAAAGTGTCTGTCAGCTCTCTTAATAAAAAAAGAACGTGAACGCAGTGGTTAAGTGCCAGAGGTAACTGTGGGTCACACATCATTTCTGCAGTCTGTACACCAACAGAAAACAAAGCGGCAGAACCACGAGGCTTGGCTTAGCGCCCATGTTTGGAGTCAAAACCCATTTCCCTTCCCTGCTTCTATAACAGGGGTAATTTGAATTTATCTCCTAATTTCCCCCTCCTTTTTACACCAAATTGGCTGCGTCCGTTAAGCAAAGTGGCAAAGCAAGGTTGCAGGAGTTGCTCATCACCGAAGCTCATTAGATTTGGCTACAGAGACACACAAACGCACACCATGTCAACGTGTTTATTAGTGGCAAATACAAGACATCATCCTGTGCAGCATCTCTCTCATCCTTGAAATTAACTCCCTTATTATTATTATTTTTCTAACTGTTTTGATAAGTTATA